GCACCCCTCAACTGCACATATTTAAAATATACAACTTGAGGGCTCCTGGGTGGCTCAGTCGTTAAGCATCTGCCTTTGGCTCAGGTCATAATCCCAGGGTCCTGGGATCGAGCCCCGCATCGGGCTCCCTGCTCCGTGGAAAGCCTGCTTCTCCCTCTCCCACTCCCCCTGCTTGTGTTCCCTCTCTCGCTGTGTCTCTCTCTGTCAAATAAATAAATAAAATCTTAAAAAAAAGATTCTCTCAAAAAAATAAAATAAAATAAAATATACAACTTGATAAGTATAATGTATGTATGTACCAGGAAACCACCAGTCACTTATCCATCCATTATCCACTTAATAAATTTATCCATCACCCTCCAAAATTTCCTTATAACCCTTTATAATCGACCCTCCCACCCACCGCATCTTCCCTACCTCATCTCAGGTGACCAGTGGTCTGCTTTTTGTCACCACAGATTAGTTTACATTTTTTAGAATTTTATATAAATGGACTCATATTACTATATGCTTTATTTGTCAGTCTGAATAACTTTTAGAGATCTTCAAGTTCATTGATTCTTCTGCAGTATTTTTTTTTTAAGTAAACTCTTTGCCCAACACGCTGGAACTTACGACCCCAAGATCAAGAGTTGCATACTCTACTGACTGAGCCAGCCAGGGGCCCCTCTTTTGCAGTATTGAATTTGCTATTAATCCCATCTAACAAATTATTCATTTTAGATACTGTATTTTTCAGTTTTAGAATTTCCATTTAGTTCTTTTGTATTTCTCCTAAAATATACCATTTTGTTACCCATTATATTCATCTTTTTTTATAGATTCTGTTATTTTTCTTTGCAGAGTGTTGCATTTTGTCCTAGCAAGCAATTAGTTTGGTAGGTCACCTTGATTCTCTGGAGGCTTGTTTTAAAACTTTAAAAGGTCTGGTTTATTTCAGTTTTGCTCTTAGTCCCATGAGATTTCAATGGAAAGACCAAATTATTTGCCCAATCCCTCCTACTTGGCAGAACTTAAACTCCAAAATCTGTCTTCCCAGCAGTAGACAGTTGCTGAGGTTGCTGCTCAGCCTTTTTTAGCCTTTCAGCTGATGTTTCCCACTGGACTCCTTGGAGTCCCACCTCATAAATGCATAGTTCCAGAACCAGCCCGTGATTTGAGGGGAGTATATATATAGAGATTTGGCGGCTTCCCTTTCCCTGTCCTCTTCCTTTCCGGGATCTCCTCCTGTATTTCCAGCTATATTAGCAGCCTCAAACTCTGGACTCTCCCTGATTCCTTAGCCCAGTTAGACTCCAGTTTTCTGCTTGAGCCATATTCCTTTTGTACTGCATGGAAGTGTCAAAGGAAAAGCCAGTTAGGGGTGGATCTCATCGAATCTCACCTTTTTTTCAAGGATCATATCCCCTTCATTTTTTGCCTGCTTTTTGGTTGCTCTCCAGAACCTTCAGTTGTTTTTTTTTTTAACATTTTATCCAGAATTTATTACTGTTATTGGCTGGAGGGTTAGCCCAAAATAAATTAGCCCACGATTATAGAATGTAGAACTCTTCAATCTTCCTATAGGCTCTCTGCCAACTCCCCTTGGTTCTATCAATTTAAGAAAAAAAATTTTAAGTTTGTTTTTATTTATTTACGTAATTTCTACATCCAACATGGGCTTGTATTCATGACCCTGCAATCAAGAGTCATATGCTCCTCCGACTGAGCCAGCCAGGTGCCCCTCAATTTTTTTTTTCCACTTCCAAGTGAAACCAAACGATTTATTTGTGCTAAATGAGTGGAAATAACGTATTCAGAGTATACTTGTTTGTACACCGCACTTGCTTATACTGGGCGACACAAGCGCTCATCCAGCTAATGTGCTGCTTTCTTCTCACCTCTTGTGTCTTCTGCCAAGCAATAAAGTATTCTGTGGCTGTTATGCCAAGAGATTCCTATAATGTTCATTTCAAATAGTACTTTCTAATAGTATTTTGCACCTTTAAAATATTTGTTCAAACTCTATTTTAGGGGAACACGAAGAATGGAAAGGGGAAAATAGCTGTTTCTGTTACAATCATGTTGCCTTCTGCAGCAGAAATCAAAGAGTGTGTCTAATCAGCCATCAAAACCACCGGTGGGCAGGACAACATTTATCGACTCGTGTTAGAGGGGCCAGTCTGGGTAGGTTAACACTAAAGATAAGGAAAGAATCACACCTTAATATACAATAATTATCCATCCTACGTGTATGTGGAAAAGGTACAGCCATGTGATCCATTACTTTAGCCTATCGTTTCACAAGAGACATGGATGTTGACATATACTGAAAATAACCTATAAAAAGTGTATCTGTAGAAAGCTCTATCAAAGAGTATATTGTCTCGGGCACTGATGCATCTAACTTTCCATTCTACACCAAAAGCTAGATTTTCAAAGGTCTGAATTGTAGTGAATTATTGGTATGTTTGGTAAACACCATTATAATGGGGGGCAGGGGGAGGGGAGTAACAGCTCAGTAATTCTCTGCAAATTCATGAAAAAAAAATGTAACAGATGACTTTTTCCATCAGTGTTTTACTTGAATCTACGTGTACGTCCATTCCCTGGCTGGAACATTTGCTATTCGATATTTGGTAATTCAGCAGCAGTGTGCAATTTTTGCTTGGCCCCAGAGCTTCATTTTCCTGGCTTTTAGGTTTGTAAAATAAAAAGGGATATCTTTTTTACATTTTTTTTCATGATTTTTTTTTTAAATAACATACTGTGTTTCATGGATACTGTATCTTTTCTTACTCCTCTGAAGATATTAATGATAGTGTTTCCTGTTTTTTAAGTTTTCTTCTCTATGAATAGTCTGTTTCCTCCAATTTTAATTCTTCTCTTTGTTCTTTGTTTTGGTCTCTGACATTTATGTTGGAGGTTTTCCCCTGGTGACCTGTGGTTGTTTACTAATGTTTAAGAGTAGGAGACTAAAATCAAACTGAAAGCTCTGTGTCCTGCTTGTGGGTGGAGCCTCTGGTGTGCTTCATGGTATGGTGATCAGGCTGGGCTGTTTGTTGGGTGGCCCAAATGCCACTGTTTCCAGGTCTGCTCTCATAGACTGGTCACGTTTCCCAGAAGAAGAGTCTTCCCATCTATCGTAGTCCATTCAGGCTGCTATAAGAAAATGCTGCAGATGGATCACTGTAAACAACAGAGATTTATTTCTCACAGTTCTAGAGGCTAGGAAGTCCAAGATCAGGATGGTGGCATGGTTGGGTTCTGGTGAAAGCCCTCTTCCAGGTTTCAGACTGCTGACTTCTCTCTGTGTCCTCACATGGTGGAAGGGGCTAGGGAGCTCTGTGGGGTCTCTTTATACTCTCATGACCTACTCACTTCCCAAAAGTCTCCCCTCCCAATACCATCACACTGGGCATTAGGATTTCAAGATAGGAATTTTGTGGGGACACAAACACCAGACCATAGAACAGTCTCTTCCCCCAGAGTTTAAGGTTTAGCAGGATGCTTTCTGGGAACTAAATGGGAAGAACACTGGAGGTCTCATCATCCATTAGGCGTATGTTCACTTGATTCCTCAATTTTGGAGTGGCCAGCCCTGCCCTCAAATGGTGTCCCCTGAGACTGAGACCCTCTTTCGGGTCCTCTTCAGAGGACACACATTCAGACTTGTGGCAGGCAGGCAATTGCCTAAGAGTATGGAGCCAGGAGGGCTTCTAGGGGTCTACCTGCTTCTCAACAGCCTTCAACTAATCTCCAGGCTTCAGTCTCCCTTCCCCACTGCCAGAGGTCTCTGGTGTTAATTCCTGAGCCATTTGAAGACCCTTTGGACAAATTGTGTTCTTGGCTTTCTTCACTGCCAGCCTCAGGTTTGGCTTTCTTGAGTGCATAGTCTGTTATCACTCATGTATCTGCTTTCATGATGGTGGTTTTGCCTCTGGGTTTCAGAAGGGAGCGAAATGAACTCAGAATCTAGCAGCTGGATTCAAGAAGGTGGTTTTCGTTGCATTGATTAGCTAGGGTGCAGAATCTCCAAGTCCATGGACATGAAGTACTTCTAAAGAGTGAAACCAAGAGGGAAATTTTTGTAGAAAAACAGGTGCTTATGAATCAGGGTTAGTATAGACAAAAGTAGCAAGTGTAGATTAATGCTTTTGAGAATTTATTTATAAGCAAAAAAGGGCTACATCGTCTAGTAAGGAGACCTAAGAAAGGGTGTACATCTCCTCCTAGGGTTCTCTGCTGTGCTGAGGCCTCTGCATCTGGACCCTGCATGTGGCACTTGTTCCTTCAAGGAAATGCAGTGGGGTTGAGGAAGCTCCTAGCAGGGGGCAGTGAAGTGATAGCCTTACAAGGGCAGATGGGATTCTACAGCCGGGAATGGGTGGTGACATGTCTCAACTTAAAACCACAGCCAGTGTGAAGTAGGCTGGTGTCAACCTGAATGCTAGAAGGTTGCTTTTGAAACGGAAGCAGGTAAGTTTGGCACAAATAAAAGGAAGCACAATTTACCGAAACAGAACAGAAACTTGGGAAACTATTATAAGTGGCTCTTCTTGCAGATGGCTTAATTCCCCAGGGGTTGGACAAAAACAGAGCATTCCTCCCCCCACCATCCCCCGTAAAAAAAAAAAAAAGAGAGAGAGAGAGAGCTTTCTAAGAAATCCTGGAGGTTCTGACACATACATAACCCTTCACATAGACACTGACGAGGACAGTATGCTCTTATTGGGATGGATGGAGAATTGGGCAGCTTGGTGTAGCAGGGAAATCTTGACCTGAATTAAGAAGATCTGAGTTCAGATCCTCAACTTACTTGCTGTGTGACCTTGAGCAAGTTCCTAACCTTTCTGATGCTCACAGGTTCTGGTAAAGTTGTTAAATAATGCAGTTACATAACCCACAGTAGGTTCAATGAAGCAAAGGTTAGCCTGAGTCTGAAACTGAATTATCTTGGTTTTTATTTAACACGTATTTGCTGAGCCCTATCAAATACCAGGCTGTGTACATATATCTCCCCTATTCTAGAAAGGCTCATGAAGTGAAGGCCCAGCTCTGTTCCATCCTGCAGACCTTCCTCAGGATGGCGGGAGGCTGTGAAGGTGAGCATCCCTATGTCCTCTCCCTTGGCTGGGGCTCCTGGTCCCATCTCAGCAGACAACCCCCACTTCCCTCTTAGCCACCTTCCTAATAACCAAGTGAAAGGTTTCACAACCTAGTGAGTAATACCAGATGGTAGTGATGCGCAGGCCACTTCTGCTTTTTATTATTTATTTCTCTTGAGAGTCTCTAGAGGACCAACTCTGGGAAGGAGAGTTGAAGGTTTCGGGGGGAGAGGGAGGGGGTGGGAATGAGAGCCACTATGACATGGTGGGTGTTTGAGATTCATTCCCCTCCTACAGGAAAAAGTGTTCCTAGCCTCTGAGTGCCCACATCACTGTGATTATTTATGGTTACCTCAGATCACATTGTGTCTCCTCCAGGCCAGTTGTGCTCCCCATTCCTTAGTATCTGGTCAGAGACTGCCCGTGATGTAGGTTTGATAAGCATATCGGCACCTGCCTGGTATGCTGTACGCCTTGGCAGTAACCACCACACCTGCCCATCCAAAACCCAGCTTTTAGGATACTTCAGTGTCATTCACATATTTTCTTGGCCTCAATTAGATTTCCCTTTGGTCCAACCTGAAACTACCCTGCGTGAGCTTTTATTTGAATTAATGCCTGACTGCCTTTCCTTGACGTTGGCGACGTTGTGGGTGGGAGGGCTGACTCTGTCCTTGATCTCACTTTGCCTCCTCTGTCAGAACTGCTTTAACATTGACCCCATTTCTCTCCTTCCCCAGAACTCACATGCTGCGTGTCAGACTGAGCTATCCCTATTTCATACTATAAGCCAAGACTCGCTACACTGTCCTGCTGATGTTCACAGTCATGCCTGGGAAGGAGGCAGCCCCATTTCCAGCACATTTCAGTGGGAGACCTTCACATGTGCCCCCTGGAGACTCGGTGGGGCAGGGGAAGAAACTGTTAGGAGCGCACGGCGCCAAAGTCGCGTCTCCATGTGTGAATCAATGTCACCTCGCTTTCCTCTCAGAGACCTCACTGTCCCACAGCGGGACCTGCCTGAAAATTGAGGGGACGAGGGAGCCCCTCAGCCTCCTCCTTCTCCAGCACTCCGCTCCCAGGCACCGCGGCTCCTCCAGCAGCACAACTGCTGGGAGCTCAGAGCTGCTGCTGCCCTGCATGTGTCCGCTCAGCCCTGTTGTCGGCGCCATGATGGTCTGCAGGAGGGACATGGCAGCTTTCTGAATGGATTTTTCTCAAGGAAAGTGCCAGTGTGTGCAGTTCATGATATTCCCCTATCCTTGCCGTTACTGTCACTTGGCTTTTTCTCAATAGGCTTCATCTTTATTTTTTTCTAATGGGGAAGTTTTGCTCTCACCCCTGCATCCTATATTTGGCTCCCCCTCCTCTACCCCTCCTAGATACAGAATTATGAGATTCTGACAAAAAATAAGAAAATCTTCTTCAGTAAGCCTGTGAACTCTTCATATCATCTGTATTTTATTGTTGGAGAGAAGCTGGTGTCCTACTTGGTTCTGCCTGGTCCCAAACAGCTCCAGCAAAAGCAGGTGTTGAAACAGAGCTGAGCGTGTGTATCACCGTGACAAGCCATTCGCGGACTGCCCTATTCCCTGACAGCCAAGCCAGCCGCCGAGCAACTGCGGCCAGATTAGTCCTTCAACGAGTCACAAACCCCCCAGGTTCATTTTAAGCAGACGGAATCTGTTTGGCCTAGGAGGGTGAAATGAGAGAAGTGTGTTTGCAGGTGAGTGTGCGTATACGACACCACAAGCCCCCCCACCCTTCCAGCCCAGACATTTCTGTGAACACACGTGCCTAGGCCCCGGGAGATGTGCCTGTGACCCAGTTTTCACTGGCTTGGGCTCTTCCTGTCTGCCCTCAGCACCAGCGCTTGCTGGCCCCACAGGCTGGCCATTCTGCAGCTCTGTGCACACAGCTGCAGGGGTAGGAATAGCTTAGTGCCCCACAACTCCCCAAGCAGATATGAGTCTGGCCACTCCCCTGTCCTCCATTTGCAGGGACAGGCTCACAGCACCGTGAAAGAAAACTGGAGTCTCTGGCCTTTGAGCTGTCCCTGGGGACTGCAGCTGGATGGCCAAACAGCCAAGTGGTTGCAAGACAGAATGACTACAATTGAGCTGACACTCCCCCGCCCCCCAAGCAGAGTGAGGTATCATTAAAATGACAATGACACTGTAGATGCCCAGATGCTCAGAGTCTGGGTTCAGCTCAGCAAAGAGAACGTGATGGATGATGGCTGACGGCGATGCCCAGAGCTCAAGCTGCCTTTTCCTTCTCCAGTTTGCAGCCAGAGTGGCTTCTCTTCTAAGGCGTTGCTTCTCATCTTTGGCTTTTGCAAGGGTGACCTGGGGATGTTCTCACCAATGCCAACTCTTGGAGCTGTTCTGGGTCTTGGCTTGTGTTAGAGGTGCCCAGTGAGTGGGGCAGAGGTAACAGACATTGCCCTCAGGGTTCCCCAGAGAAAAGTCTCCTCTGAAAAGACCTAAGGAGACGAGGCAGTTGGCTCTCTGCATCACACGCCACATGGTGTGTTCTCTCTAAAGAAAGACACGAGAAAGCTGTCTCAGTGCCCTGCCCTGGACTTCCTGTCACTCATGGACACAGGAGGTGCGATGGCTACCTGGCCCTTTCATGCTCCTCTCCTGACCCATGTGAAATGTGACTGTTGATTGGAGAGCAGTCCACTTCTGTGACTCTGCTGCCAAGCTTCACTCTCTCTGCCTCTTGGGAGAGGCCCTCCTCATCCGGGCCCCAGAGATTTGGAGGCTGAGGCCAAGCCCAGTCTGCAGGGAGAACAGGGAGTCCCCCAACCTAGTTGTAGTTCACATTTAGCTTTGGTAAAAGCGCAGCTCATTTTGAGCCACGTGTACCAAGAAAGCCGTTCCTTCACCTTGTAGTAAGAACTCCTGTTCTACAGCCTCATCCTCCTACAAAGAGGATGTTGACTAAGATCTTTATGTTCCCACTTCATCTCTGGAAAGTTCCCCAGCATTCTGACTGAACACTCAAGGGAATAGAGAAATGACACCAAGGAGCCTCTAACATTGGCCTTGGCCGTTCTGAGCAGTTGGTCCTGAGAGGGTTTCCCGGCCACCCCTTCCTGGGGCCACAGTGTCTCCATTGTGTGTGTTGGGGGCAGGTCACCATGCTGCAGCGAGCTTGTGGGGTAGACATGCAGGTCTGTCTGCACGGCCCACGGCAGATGTGCCCGGTGGCACTGTGCTGAGCCTGGTCTGTGCTCCCTTGGATGAGGACACAGAAGCTCACAAGCCATCTTCCCATTCTGCGTCACCACCTGCCCACCCCCAGAGATGGTGCAAAAGAGGAGGACAGACTGGTTTTTAGCCCACCACTCACAACTCTACTTTGCCCACAGCCCGGTTTCTATCAGTTAGCATCCAACCAGGGACACAGAAGCCACTCCAAATATTTAAAACAGGGGTTTTAATCCAGAGAATTATTGAACACAGAAACAAGAAGAGGCCAAACTCAGAGGTGGGGAGCAACAGCAGGAAATAGCCACCCCCAGAGGCTGGTGGAGGCCACGTTACCAGAGCACGGGGACTAGGTCCAGTGGGAGGAACTGGGGACCACAGAAGGCCTATCTGGTGGGAGCTGGGGCCTCGAGGAGGCATGGTCACTGCTGGAAACAACCCCCCCCAGGCATGTGTGGGGAGAAATAGCCTGGCTTCTCCTTTTCTCGTGCCCTGCAGATTCTTCAGGTGCCTCTTGTTAGTTAAACCCAGCTGGAAGCCAGCTGACCTGGGGTCCTGGGATAAGCACGCTGCAGCGGTCAGCCCCCGCCGCTCAGAGCAGGGTGGGGGAGGAAGAGGAGCAGGTCTGAGGCAAGCAGGCTGCGATGTACGTGGCCTCGGTTTGCCCTGTGTCATGTCCAGCCTGCTGTTTATGCCCCATGCTATTCTTAGACCCCGGTGAGAGTAGACGCAGGAGCTGACCCCGTGGGGGTTTTGTAGACTCACTCACCTAGAGAGGAAAATGTTTTTGGAAGGGAGGGGTAAAGCCTTTATTCTCCACGGTTGTCCTTGTTTTCCCTTGGGGGAATTTACCCGTTTAGCAACCCCACCTCACCATTCCCCTCAGGAAAGCCATGTCCCAGTTTTCTGTCCATCCTTCCCCTCCGTTCCTCTGCTCCGAATTTCTGATTTGCCTTGCCAGAGAACACTAGCCCAGACCATGCATCAGTGGTCATGAGTGTTTCCCCAGGATGATTCATTCAGAGCGTGATATTAGTGTGGACTGTCTGTCTGTAAGTAGATACCATCTACTAATCAATTTGTATTGTGTTTCCAATAAATTTCTGGAGATCATGTCTGGTTTGATGCTGTCGTTTGCTGGGATGGTGGCTCCGCTATAAGGCTCAGTGCGTGCTCGCCCCAGCCCCCAGCATCAGGTGCTCCTCGTCTTGGGTTCACTCTCCCCCTGCGTAGCTCACAGACCAGGCTGGAGAGGCTGACCTTCCCCAGCCACACTGAGACTCTAAGAGACCTATGCCCAAGGTCTGCATTTTCTTCTGCGGGGTCCCATCAGCCACATCCTGAGGACATGGAGGTTTCCTGAATTTAGGTCACTCCAGGAGGGAGGTGGCCTTGGACCCTCGAGTCCCCTCGGCCCAGAGGTAGGAGGAACCCTTCCCCATCAACCACTCTTGAACTGCTGTGCCCAGTGCTGGCTCCCGTGTGAGAGCGAGGCTCCCTAGCAGGTGAAGCAGACTCAGGAGCTGCACGTCCCGCAGACGGAAGTCCGGCACATTCTTCTCGGGCCTGTAAGTAGAAAAGAAATGTCGGAGTTTTCTTGAAGGGAGAGGGATTCTGATCCGAATGCCTGGCATTCTCCATTCTTTCCTGAGTGCCCTGAGTGTTGAAACCTGCTTGGTAGAAATGACTGTTGTGTATTTTACTGCTTTCCACCTGTTTGACTGCAGTGTAGATTCTGCCTCACGTGCTGTGCTAGTCATCGTAGCTTCACTGGGGAGCCTTCAGCCCCTGTCTGTGAAGTACGCCTGTTTGTGACCCTTGTTTGCTGGGATTTGTGAGAGAGGTTTTTCAGAGAGAGAGAGGGGGCGCCTGCGTGGCTCACCTGGTTGAGCGTCTGATTCTTGATTTCAGCCCTGATCGTGATCTCACTGTCCTGGGATTGAGCCCCACGTCCGGTTCTGTGCTGGGTGTGGAGGCTGCTTGAGATTCTCTCTCCCTCTCCCTCTGCTTCTCCCCCTTCCTGCTTGTGTGTGCTCTTTCTCTTTCTAAAAAAATAAATAAAATAAAATAAAAATAGGAAGAGAGACACTGAGTTTCCCTCCAGAATTTCACTAGAGAAGCAAGACACACACACACAAGGTTACCTACCAGAGACCAGGAGTGTTGTAATTAAGGTGGTGTCTGTTCTTGCAGGAATTCTGGGATAGAGGGCTCAGCAACACAGGACTCGTGGTCAGGGAAGGTTTTGTGGAAGTAGGGGGACCCCTCAAGATGGAACACAGCGGCCCTCGCTGAGAATTTTTTTTCCATTTGTCTTAAGTGTGTTCACAATTGCTCACTGAAGCATTTTTATGATGATTGCCTTAAATTCCTTGTTAGACAATTCTAATCTGTGGGACATCGCAATGTTGACAATCTGTTGTGTTTTCTCATTCAAGCCGAGAATTCGCTGGTTCTTGGTATGTTCGTTGAATGCTTTTGATTGAAACCTAGACATCTTGAGTATTATCTACTAAACTCTAGATCTTATTTAAATACTGTGTTTTAGCAGGCCCTGTGGGGGAGCTGCTTTGTTACTGCTAGATGAGATGCAGGGCTGGGATCCCCACTGCGCTTGCAGGGACACTGGGGAGCTAGAGAGGCTCCTCCTTACAGCTAGGTGTTTTGTTTTCTTTGCTAAGTTTTCTTTCTCTTCTTTTTTATTGAGACATAATTGATATATAATATGTTAATTTTAGGTGTACAACATAATCATAGATATATGTACGTATCACAAAATGATTACCACAATTAGTTAATAGCCAACACCACACATGGTTACAAGCTTTTTGTTTTTCTCCATGGGAACTTTTAAGACTTACTTTCTTAGTAACTTTCAAATATACAATATAGTATTTAAGTATAGTCACCAAGCTATAAATAACATCCCTGGGACTTGTTTCTCCTGTGACTGGAAGTTTGTACCTTTTGACCAACTTCACCCATCCTCTCCCTACCTCTCACCTTTGGCAACAACTAATCTGTTCTCTGTATCTATGAGTTTGGTTGGTTTTGGTTTTTTTGTTTATTTTGTTTTGTTTTTAGATTCCATATGTAAGTGAGATTGTACAGTATTTGTCTTTGTCTGATTGATTTCAGTTAGCATAATGCCCTCAAGGTCCATCCATGTTCTCACAACTGAGAGAGTTTCCTTCTCTTTTATGGCTGAATAATA